GGAAAACAGTTGGCAAAGGATGAAGCTTACTCGGTCCCTCCCCGCCGTAAAAGTGTTCCGAGCATAATCTGGTGCTGTCATTTCTTGTGTATTTGAAGTTGGAACGGACAAGCTTGCATCTTTGAATCCAAACCCTTCTCAGTCGTATATCTGCAGGGAATCTGTGCATAGTGATTTTCCGGCCATTCGCAAATTTCTTACAATGATTACTACAAATACAACAGTATCGCTGTTTTGACGGCATTCTTGACATTTGCCGCACTGGCGCGACACTTCCCGGAAGTAGATACGCGTTGACCAGCACATGCGCATTATGTTTTTAATAGCGGTCGCCAAGGACAGATAACTCACGTTTTGAGAGTGGGCAATACCTCCACCTCTGGCTGAACCAAAAATAAAGAACTCTGCCATACGGTTGGCCCTTGTCTTATATGGGACTAGCCCGTTTACATACATATTTATAAAGTTTAGTTCAGAACATTATGCACAGATGCTACAATTTGGAACAAAGAAACATTTTTAAAAAACATGAAAAACAAAATGGTCAAACGTAGCACGAAAAAAATAATCTTTTATACAAAATTGGAGATTACATAAAAGGAGTCACTTTACCTTCAGAAAGCAGGAAATTGCATCTTAGAGCATCTAATTTGAAAAATATTCCGGGGAAGCATGCCCCCCTGAAACCCCTAGATCCTCTGGCGCTTTGCGGCCAAGGACCTAGATAGTGCCACAGAGTCCTACTGGTCCTTGCTGAAGGCTATCTCATTTTCTGTCTGTGTTCACACCTGAACACTTGTTGTTAAAAAAAATGTGACTTTGATGGGCCAAAGAGGTGTATTACCAGAACCTTTACCCATGCTATCCGACACCGAACAAAGGCTTTTTTCACTGATTGCAAGTACCAACGTTATCTGAGCAACCATGAAGAAGCTCTGTAAATCTTAATCTTTACCACTGCCGGATGTCCCTTGAAACACTATGGACAATCGTCAGGATGACAGATGTACCGACTCTACTTCACTTCTTGTCTTAGTCTCGGCCGGCTTGACATACTGCCCTCTGGTACCTTGACGACCTACATCTGAACAGGACGCTCGCTCTTATCCTTATCCCCAACAGGCGAATATTCATGTTGACAACTGACCTGACCCGAAGGGACTTAGGACGATATATGATTGAACCTGCTGCCACGTATTCGATTATGCTTCCTGAGAGCCTTGGTTTCCGCCCTCGGAAATCAGGGGCGATGTCATACCCTTCCAGCTAATTGACCACTGCCAAGAGAGCTGGCGATGTGTCAGCTAAGCAATTTTCCCCTCTTCCTGATAACATCAAAACTGTGTATTTCCCCAAAGAAGAAACTATATCATTTCTGTGTGCAGTAGACTTGATATCCTCCAGAGAATCCAAACAATCGCAGTTGAATTTTTACTGGACAGAATTAACGTTGAACTTTAATTCAGGAACACTATTTTTCCTCATTTTTTACTTCTGGCAACGACAAGTGCTCGGACTCTCTAACAAAATTCACTTTCAGAGAATGATTTCTTCACCTTTCTGAATCCCTGACGATGACTTTGATTTTCGAGAATGAAGGAGAATATATTATTGCCAAACCATAAAATCTTATATATTTGATTGTCTGCATTTCAGCACCATTTATTTAAATGTGTATTATTGTCTTGTTAGCAACGACTCTATTTCACAAAATACAAATAACTCCATCTCCAGCTTGAGTCTAGTTGTCAGCAGACTGAACGTAAATTTAAGTATACATTCAAATAGTACATCAGTATTTACCACACGCATTTTCCTTTAACATTGCGAGAACGGAAGCCTCTGTACAGTGACTCAGCGTCACGTGTCGCCACCTACACAGGTATATATGTCGGTCGCTTTTGGCATTACAGAACATAGTTTGCTATTTCAATGCCCATGTCAGGGTGCTAATGAACTGATATCAGTGAACAGCCACTCTTCAGAGAAGGAAAAACTGTTTGGAGGTTCAGGTAAGTTTTCAGTCATTATTACATTCGTCTAACATAGGAGAGGCATTTCAATGTGGGACCTAGCGACATATTTCTTGTTGCTTATTTGTCGGTCCTATGGCGAAATGTCGTTTATTGAAAAGAATGAAGATCCTTTTAAAGGCGAAAATGTATGGATGGCCTATAACGTCTCTGTTTTGAGGAACAGGACGTTTCGGAGTATATAATTTCTCCTTCATCAGGTGAATGAAAAAACTAGGAAACAGTTAGCTATATAAGTACATGTGAAACGACAGTGATTAGATAAGAACAAGGGAAGCCAGGAGTTAACTGGTAACGGCAATAGACAAGTAGAAGCTAGGGGATAAATCCAGGCATCAATGATGAGATAACAGTAGTGGAACTTAACAATGGTTAAGCACAATGACATGAAAGCCAGCACAATTGAAAAATTCAAAAGTCCCAAGCGCTAGGTAGGTATATTATTATCTGTGCTGGCTTCCGTGTCATCATGCTTATTACCTGCAGGACTGACCGCCTCCGTGGTGTAGTGGTTAGAGCGTCCGCCCGGAAAGAGGAAGGTCGCGGGTCATACCAAAAGACGTTAAAATATGGTACTTGTTGGTCCCTGCCTGGCTCGGCATTAATGGGTACAACAAGGACTGGTCGGCTCGGAGTCAGTATAATGTGTCTGAGTGGGGTATTCATGCTTCACTGCGGTATGGTATCTCAGTGGGCTAGCACTATAAAACCAGCTTAAGTCTGGGCTAGTCCAAGCAGCCACACATACACATACATCACGTCGTCACATGAGCGAAATATTCTCAAGCACGACGTTAAACCCAATTTCACATCACATCACATCACCTGCAGGACTATTTGTAACTGGATTAATTCCTGGCTCCTATTTGTTTATTTCCATTAACCCGACCTGACATGTCTGATATGGAGACCCAAAAATATAACGTCGAAAATAATACCTATAAGGTGAGGCTAAAATAGTTTAGCAACTGAAGTATATGTCAAACAAACTTCTTGCTTCTATCTCATTTAAAAGAGATTCTTTGTATTCTTTGTTTAGAGACTCACGTCAGGACCACATCATTTGTTAAGCTGATATACCTTGGTGACCACACTATTAGGCTAGCGTGACTTATACTATTAAAAAAGAAGAAGCCCATAACCCAGAAATCTGTTGTATCCGACCTTCATTAATAAGATGCTGCTCCTCCCAGCGCCACGGCCATGGCCATGGAGCTGACACCAAATGACCGAAGCCATCATAAAGTAATTAACAATACACCGTGGAACCTCATTCATAAACTCACCCGAAGTCGTGCCGCAGTTGTTTAATGTGAATGTACACTAACGTTTCAATGACAAGAACACCATGTCAAAAAACATGTAGACACCAAAGGTCATATATTTAAGATGGGTTTGATTGATTACGTCACTCTTATTTTCCTGCACGATCACGTCTAAAAAGATTTCATCAGATAATAAAAAAATTAATCTCTCTGTTACGACCTTCTATTTTAGGTTAACATGGGTCCTCCTTAGTCAAAAGTTTCCTCCGAAATGCGTGTCACACGGGTCTCATGCGTGTGGTCAACGGGTTCCACATGAGTGACCGCGCGACTCACACGGGTTGCATCACGGATTGCACACGCTTGTACGGGGATGAACTTTAAGGCAGTAGTGTATGTGGGGAATCGAAGCGGGGTCTTTGGCGAGACGAGCGAACGCTTTAGCCACTATCTACCCCACCACAACCCACTGAACAGCATAGGTTCAAGTACCAGCTATAGACAGGAATGAAAGAGCGTCACTACGTTAGTTAGTTAACGGCGCACTCAGCAATATTTCAGCTATATGGCGGTCGTCGCTATGTACATGATCATTCAATTATGTGGAACGTAGAGTTATTAAACCCCTATCCTCTTGTGTTACAATGTTCAAATCCTCTTATTTATAACCTTAGGTTTGTGAAGGATAAGATAACAGGTTCCAAAAATTAGATCACATAAATTGAATAAAGATAACACATACAACGTTCAATAATCAAATATATGATGTTTTCCGATAATAAGTTATCAAGTACATAGACTGGTGCAAACGATATCCTTATGCTTAAATTCACATGAACTTGGTCTGGAGGTAATTCGGTAGGGTGCATTTTGATAATTAACTACAAATTCTTCCCCTTTCTGCAGTTAACTTGTCGACAATGTTTCAGTCACTGTAACTAAGGATTGCTGTACAATCGGAACAACTGAAAGTGCTCTTCTTCATATTTCTGTATTTCATAAACGCTAACAATTTGTTTTATTGTACAGGTAAATTGTTCACAAGAATGGAAGGATAGGATTACATCAAACCGATTATTCTACTTGTTATTGAATTACCTAGCCATGATATTTTCATGATCTCATTTCAGTAAGTGCAAAGTTCCATTCAACATGGTCAATAACTAACTGTAATATGACAAGTTAATGTCCTGCAGCTGTTCAGTCACAATATATGCATGCCGCAATGTTATTACCTACGAGGTCGAAAATATCAGGGTTCATATTTTTCATACGATGCCCTAGGGCAAAATATCACTTTGTCATGGTGACGCGACGTCATGAACAATGCTATGACGTCACGTTTCTTCTGTGACGTTGCGTTCTACATAAGGCGAAGGCAGGTAGCCAGCCTTTGTTTGAAAGAAGATTTGGGTTTATTTTCTTCAGTTTGACGACTTCGGTAATAAACAGATTATTATATTCGTGACCATATCATACTATATTTAATGCCATAATTAACTGGACTTGAATTTGGCCTAAGAATGATATTTTTTTATCCAAACAGGCTGGCTGAAAACAGTAACCGAAACACGGCAAGACCATGATTACCCGTTAAAATACATCGCCATGGAATAACTATTTTATGTGTTGGCCACAGTAAAACATGGATGTTTACCTTCCTTTGCCCGAGACAATATAATGAATTTGCATTGAAGGAACCATGACTGAGGGAACCACAAAAAGCACGACACAGAAGGAGAGGGCGATGACGCAGGAGAGGGAGGAAGCCATAGCTATGTTCTACTACTTTATTGGGGACGAGGAAACTAGCAGAGATGAGATCATTGACCGGTTCTCCCGAAACAGCCAACATTATGAAAAGGTATGTACAGTCAATGAACACTGACAGAAAAGTAATGATTTCCAAATTGAAGAGGAACACTGTTAATTGATGGACAACCGTATCAACAAAGTGATACATGGATGGACGTATCAAGCAAGTGATACATGGATGGACGTATCACTTGCTTGATAACTGTGTTAGCATGTATACCGAAACGTCGCATCTATTACAATAAACAAGTTGTCTCTATAATGTACATAAACATTTTTCCTCTTCATCATACCAGCTTCTAAATGCCACTTAAAGTAGATTTCCAAATTTAGAAAATATATATGCCATCCTGAGAAACATGAATGCATACTGTGCATACATGTGTAACCCATATATATGTGATTTATGTTTAACACAACAACAAAACGTTGTTGGGTTTCATGGCATAAATTATATCAATCTTAAATCAGAACTCAATTAAATTTTAGGTCGTGCATATTATATATACTGTGCACGCAGAATATTCTCAACGCCATGTCTAGTTTACGAAATACGTACCGGTGAAAGTCCGCTGACTTGGTTGACACATGTCATGGTATCCTAGTTGCGTAGATCGATGCTCAGGCTGTTGATGACTGGATTGTCTGGTCCAGACTCGATTGTTTACACACAACCGCCATTTTGCCGAATATTGCTGAGTGTTGCGTTAAACGACAAAAACTCCAAACAAATACGTCTTGAAATCTTTTTGTTTGTAATTGAGCTGAAGAAAATTTCTGTAAAATCAAAATCAAACAATTGCAAGGGTTAAAGAGGGAAAACTGATTATGAGAAAATATGTACACCAACACTATGCGAAATATGTAGCCTTAGTGTGTAAGCTAATAAATATACGTGGCTCTTTGTTGTTGGCCCAAGGATTTCATAATTCAAATCTTTTCATTTTTTCATTTTCAACATATTATGTAAGGATTAACAAAGAAATATTTAAACCCAAACTAACACAAAGTTGGACGCATTAAAGGATGTGTTAATTGTACCCAATATCACGGTATTACCGGGCTAGCTCTAGAAGTTCTGCAAACATTCTGCATTTCACACTGAAGCGTCATTTCCACTCAGTTTACATTTGAAGTATGTTTGTGTGCAAACAAGAGAGGAATTCTTTCCTCTCCCCTTTTTTGCAAAGGTTATTGCAGCGACGAACAACAACTATGCAACGAAGACTGCACAAACAACTGCGGAGCTGTTTCCTAGCAACAGGAAAGATATTTATATTCTGGATGTGGCTGCCGGAACAGGGCTTTGTGGACAGGAGGTTGGCAGAAAACATATTCTGAACTCTAGTCCGTTTGGCTCAAAAGCGGACCGATGAATTGCAATCTAACTTGAAAACTAATAAACATAAAATACTCAATGAAACACTGATCATAATCAAAACGTCAGACCAACTCTATGAAGCTTTTGCAGAATTTACGTCCTAAAAATAAACAAGTTGTTTAACAAACTGTCATTAAAATATTGACACAGTTCACTATTTGTTACGAGGGAGGAGTGCAGAGAAATGGAAAGCTAGGTGTGCGAGAAAGGATGGAGACGGCACAGCACAGATTAATGAATCAATAGCTTTGTCGGCACTTGTGCATGTGTTTCTAACACCTGGCTGTCCCTTTCCCTGCAATCCTCGCTCGTAAGAAATAGTAAACTGTGTCAAAATTTTAATGATAGTTTGTTAAACAACTTTATTAATTTTAGTACATATATTCTGCAAATAAATCACAGAGTTGGTGTGATGTTTTGATTATGATCAGCGTTTCATTGAGTATTATTTGTTTATTAGTTTTCGAATTAGATTGCAATTCACCGGTCCGCTTTTGAGTCAAACGGACTATATAGTTTGGCATGAAATGCATGTGGACCCGGATTTTTTTAAATATCTCTTCATCGAATGATCCAATCAATCTCAAACTATGCAAGTGGATGTTTTGTCAGACAACCTAATCACATTGTAAATCACCGATTTTATGCATTTGTATTAAAGAATCTGTAACTGTCAACAAAATAAACAGCAGAATGCAGACTGCTTGCAGAGGGTGGGAGCCAATGACCTGTAACAGCGGCAGTGTTGGGTCATAAAGGTAAATGCACGTGCAGTTCATGATAGTCATCTGTGCACTGCACAGTGATAGACCGTTTGAATCATTCACATTGACTACTTCTAGCTGTCATCATGAAAGCTTATTCAGATGATGCTAAACGTTTAATTAGAAATGTGTTTATTTTTTTTTAAAGAGAGCAAACGTAGCAAACCGATTTATAAGGTGTCGGATTACATGAAACGTACAAAGAACATCATGCTAAAAATTGTGAAAAATAAACCAACAACTAATAAACAAAACCTTGTGCAAAAAGGTAGGCATCCAAAGTTAGATTCTTTTGACATCAGGGTCATCAGAGATGTCATTCGCCGGGTATTTGCTAGAAATGAACACCTGTCCACAAGAAAGTTAAAACACATCCTTGCAGAGGATCACGACATTAATGTTTCTAGGTTTATGCTAAGCAAACTACTGCTCAAATTTGGATACAAGTACAAGAAGGTAGCAAACCAGAAACATGTAATGTGTGAGAGATCTGATATTGTGAAAATAAGGTGTAACTATCTGGGAGAAATTAAGCAGGCAAGAGAGGATGGGTTCGAACCTATATATCTGGATGAGACCTGGGTCAATGCAAACCATACTGCTGCCAGACAGTGGCTACCCACTGATCCCAGTGATGGTAGGAAAATACCAACAGGCAAAGGTGAACGTTTTCTCGTTCTTCATGCTGGTTCCCAGCGTGGATTCCTACCTGGGTGTGATCTGGTATTTCGGTCAAAGAGCACAGATGGTAGGGACTATCATACAGAAATGAACTCAACGGTTTTCACACAGTATGTTGAGGAACAATTGTTGCCAGCTCTGCCTTACAAAAGTATTGTTGTCATGGACAATGCTCCCTTTCACAGTGTTCGAGATCCCAACAATAGGTGCCCAACCAATACAAAGAAGTCAGATATGCAGCAATGGCTAACAAATAACAATATACAATTTTCAATTAAGGCCACTAAACCACAGTTGTACTCTTTGATTAAACCTAACAAACCTCCACCCACATATAACATTGACAACATGCTACGCCAACACGGCCATAAGGTCTTGAGATTACCACCGTACCACTGTGATCTCAACCCAATCGAACTTATCTTGGGAGACCTTAAAAGTACAGTGGCCCGGAAAAATCAATCATTCAAGTTGAATGATGTCAAGCAAATTGACAACACTGCTATATGTGACATTGACATTGCACGCTGGCATGCATGTGTTGAACATGTCAAGAAGTTGGAGAAAGAGTACACGCTCACAGATGGCTTGAAGGAGCAAACATTTAATCCAGTTGTCATTCGTCTGGACACTGATGACTCCTCTGTGGAAGAATGGAGTGAACTTGATGAAGTTTAATTCTGTTATTATATTTACAGATAATAATAGTATCCAGCCAGATATGCTCAAAGAAATATAACTTCTTTTAACAATGACAGCACTTACTATTTCCAACGACTTATAGTGTAACATGAAACACTCATTTCACATAAAATTATCATGAAAATATAAATATTAACTATCTATATGCTTAAAGCTATTAGAAATGCATTGCTTAATTTGGAATGTGAACGACATCAAAACATAACACTTTTGTCTTCATTCTCTCTTTTCTTCAATGAGTGTGAAAGATTGTGTGTGCTTGTGTCCGAGGGAAAGGGGCTTTAACAGTTGTTGAGTTCTAACCATAGGTGGTCCGATTAATGATTTAATGTAAATATACTTTCTGTGTTCTTTAAATGCATTTCCACTTAGGTACTGCATAAACAAAATATGACATTAACATTACAAATTTAAAGATTTTAACCTACAGAATAATTCTCACTAATGGGTTTTATGGTTAATGTTGAACAACTCAGAGGAACAAACTCCGTATGATGGTTAACAGTTGGCACCCACCTTACCCTGTTCACGACCTGTGACACCTCTTCATACCTGTCACGTGCATAGCTGACCTACATTGACGAACGTTGACCCAACACTGCCGCTGTTACAGGTCATTGGCTCCCTCCCTCTGCAAGCAATCTGCGTTCTGCTGTTTATGTTGTTGACAGTTACATAGACAGATTCTTTAATACAAATGCATAAAATCGGTGATTTACAATGTGATTAGGTTGTTTGACAAAACATCCACTTGCACAGTTTGAGATCGATTGGGTCATTGAATGAAGAGATATTTACAAAAACCCGGGTCCACATGCATTTCATGCCAAACTATAGTTTAACTTATTGTCATCTACTGCTATTTTATTCTCTGACATCACGTCTATAGTTATTTCTTTGTAGTTAAATTTTAGAAATCTGTGAGGTGCTTGCAGTGTTATAACCACCCCTCAAACTAAAATTCCTGACACAATTTAAAACTCCTTTGACTTTTTACCGTGTATTTGAGACGTGAAAAATACCATTGGTGTCTTGCGTAACAAGCTACATTACAGTTGTGCTTTCTTCTCATGATGTGGCCTTGCCCTTTGTATGCAGTCGCTGACAAACTTTGCAGTCATGCTTCTATATTTTTAATTTACTGAATCAACATAGGGCCATAAGTTAACATTTTATCTGTTAAACCAACGAAAATGGTTTTCTCATTTACGCTTAGATGTAATGGAATGTGCGTAATAAACTAACGCCACACTTCTTCTAGTCAGGGGCGGTGGGGTAGTCTAGTGGTTAAGGCGTTCGCTCCTCACGCCGAAGGCCCGGGTTCGATTCCCCACATGGGTACAATTTGTGAATCCCATTTCTGGTGTCCCCTGCCGTGATATTGCTGGAATATTGCTTAAAACGGCGTAAAACCATACTCCGTCAGTCAGTCAGTCTTCTAGTCAGACAGCGCTTTACGAAACTGGTGCACCTTCTCCATGTATATCTTCCTATGTTATTTCATAGTGAGGTATCACATACAGTGCTCTAGTTTTACAAGGTTTCTAAAAGTGATATTTGATTTCTCTGTACTATACACGACCTCTAAACTTTCATATAGCCCTTATTTTATGATATTTAATATCATCGTGTCTCAACGTTTTGTGAATATGATAAGTTTAGTATTTAATTTTTCAATCTGGTGAAATATTTTGATATCTGTGATGGGATCATATTTTCGTGATATTCTCAATGACCCATACCAGGACCTTACATGTCTTTATATAGATTTTATAATACAAAACATTTTTCAAATAAAAATCGTATATTAGCATTACCTCTATACGTGGCGTGTTTCAAGGTAATGTACAATGCCAAGAATATTCACACAAATGCTCACAGTTTAATTCAAACAATATTTGCACAATGCTACTGTTACATAGCAATACCTGTCCTTACAACTGCATATTGCCGGGCGGCTTGTGGCAGTAATGAAATGTTAAGGTCATTAGTGCAAACATGGTTCCATGACTAACACTATAATACCATTTATTCTGTACCTGTCAACATAATGTACGGTGCTAAGGATATTCATACATATAACACTCACAGTTCAATTCAATTATGGACATGGTGGTTCAATATTAAATATGTCAGACATATCCAATTACATATAATTACATTCACCTGAAGAAGGGGCAAGGAAACGCCCAGGAACACTTGTGTAGAGGATAAAGGAGTTGACACCCATAATATTTTGTCTACTTAACAACAACTTCTACATGCCTCACAAGAACCTCATATCCAATTACGCTATGATGCTTAAAAATACATGTACTGTGATAGTGAAATGCCCATTGTAACTGCCTGAAACCCTGTTTCATTTTCTCCCATCATAATGATGTATTGGGTTTATTTATAGCTCTACTCTCTTGGCTTTCAAAAAATGGATGCCTTGGATCCATCGGAACAAATGCTGGATGAGGCAAGGAAGAAAGGACTGTATGGACGATACTATCTGGACGTTTTAGGAGAAACTACCTTAGACATTGCAAATGGTATGCAGGGGTGGTCTGAATAGGAAACCCAGGTCAACACCGATCTGTTTTTCAAGGGATTATCGAAACCTGGGGATAAAATATCATTAGATATATGCTCACTGAACAGTATTGGTAGCATTTGCTTTGACAACTACGTGGACTACAATCCCATTTTCGTTCTGTTAATGATTCACCTGCCTGGTGGTTTGAAAAATCAGCACAACTGTGGACTTCCCTGTCACCGAAACCGCCATGTCGTTACATACTGTTTAAAGCGGCGTTTCAAGTTAATACCACATGCACTTGACCAAGACGTACGAAATATTATGTGGGATCCATCTGAAGATTCTTAGACAAGATAAACACGCTGTGATATTAAATGGAACACTTTTACCACGTGGGGAGTCCTTGAACTTGGAATGTACTCGCTTTTCACGTTCTATGTGATAATGATTTGGAGATTTTACGTCCGTTTACCGACATGTGTATTTCGCACACGATTATTCAACGCTTTGATCATTTTCAGTCACTTCTCGATATGTATTGCCACATCTGCTTAGAATACTGCATCTCTCTACTTTCAGTAACGTTTTATTGCACATATCATTATTTCAAATTGCCTACTTATAATGAATGAAAAAGGGATATTCCTCTGCAATTAACTTTTTACCTATAATGTGGTAATTGTGATTTTGGAACCCAATTGAGTATTTCTTTGGCATGAACCTTTGCATATTATGTGTTAATTATGACTTAGGAACACAATTCAGTATTCCTTTGAAATAATCGGATTATTAACATGTGTTAAATGAGACTTTGGAACATAATTAAGTATTCCTTTGAAATAAACTGAATATTTTTATGTGTTAATTGTTACTTTGGTTAAATAAATGTGAATATTTATATTACTGTGTGTTTCAGATACGTATGATGCAGTGACAATTTCAGGATTGAGCACGATGGTTCTGAAGAAGTTGCCAATAAACGCAATGGAGGAACTCATCCGCATTGTCAAACCAGGAAAGTATACATCTCCAATCACCTCATTACTCGTGAAGGTCCGCGTCAGAGATGCGGTGTAAAGCAATATTCATTCATTCCACGTAAGAATTGGTCCTCAGAAAGCATTGCTATATCGAAGAGGCGTCTAACGTGATCAGGTGGTAAGGCTCGCTGATTTATTTGATGCATGTCATCGTATCCAGATTGCACAGATCGATGCTCATGATGTCAATCACTGGATTATCTGGCCCAGATTCGAATAATTTTTAGACCGAGGTGATATAGTTGGAACATTGCAGAATGCAGCGTAAAACAACACAGAAACAGAGCAACAAAACAGACCATGAAACATGAAACATCTGCACGATCCCTACTGCGATATCGTAGATTTTTTTGCTGTTGATCGGCAACGGATTTTACTTTTTGTAATTATAATTTATCAAAATTTGTTTTACTGACCTTTGTCTGCAATAATACGAAGTTTAATATAAAGCTTACAAATGCTCCAGTCACAATAAAGCTGAACTACTATCGATATGACTCAACATTTTAACTCACTCACTCAAGTCTTCAAAAGATTCAGCGATTCATAAATCATCATATCAGTAGAAGTATATATTTATAGCGAATATTATGGACAGCATCCTCCTTATTCCTTGTTATACAGCGATGCTCCAATTGAAATGCAACTAGTTATAGGCTAGTAAGGCTAGGGTATTACAATCAATATTATCTTGAAAACATCCATTGTTTAAGGTATTGTTAGATGTTTTAAGGAATATTGATAGAATATTGAATAGTATTTACTAATTATGGTAGAGCTATAGTATATTACGTTGCGGCCCGTGGGATTGACAATAGCGACGGAATCTGTCCACAACATCCAGTCCTGTGGCGGGGTTGTATACCCAAACTGACCACATTTGAACCTCTAGTTGTAGGGTGAATCGCTCAATATCAGAACAGAGCAGAACAGAATCTTATTTCATCAACAGGCCTCTAGCCGTGAATACATATACGTAAATTGATGGATAATACCTAATGTATTTCATTTAGATTTGTGTTTCTTGTCAACAAAGTATAAAAATAGACATAAATCCTTGATGATATTAACATTTTTACTCTGTAATATAGATATAAAATTAATAATTGATGGACATTTACTAAAATATTTTGATATGTATTTATTCTGATATGAAAATATGCATCACAGATATAAAACACATGCCATTCATCTTCAACAAGAATGATACCCTTTAATTTGCAAAACAGGCAATGCCTTTCATTATACAACAATAATGTATCTACCAGTTTCAACTGCTAGTTTAAAAATAACTACACCGAAATCGGGCATATATAATTTTTAAATATTGAGGGATATCGTTATTTATCCAGTAGCTCCCTACATTTAATAAAGATTTGAATTGCTTATAGTGAAAACAGTTATGGCTGCTATCCAAATGATTTAATAAATATTTTGTGATCACCAATTTCCTGGCTTATCCAAACAAATCCAAAACCAAATTGAAAAAGGATATTTTAAATTTTAGTTGCCCATGACTTTCGTCCTACCATGTCTAAAGATAATAGCATAAAATAACAGTGTTTTGGTAATCTATAGTCAGGCATGTTTAGAAGTCTGCACCAGTATTTCACTGCACTGGTTGTATAAATAAACTGTAAAGGCACTCTTCCACATTCACCCAAGGCCATTTTGTTACAGTTGGATTTTCCAAGTTTCAAAACATATTTACAAAATTTAATATGGACAGATTCAATAGTATTACAGTAGGATGTGCCCCAGATTTCAGACCCATAACATAGAATGGGTGATATCATACAATCAAAAATCTTAAATAGATCTGTAGAATTAATGCAGCCAAGTTTCCTTTGGACATTTTTTAACAGAGAATATTGCCTTATTAGCTTGTGATGCAAGGCAAGATGTAGCTTTACTCCAATACCTAATAGTTTAGGAGTGAACATAATTCCAAGGTACTTGTAAAATGATACAGTGTCAGTAACATTACCATTTTATAACCAGTTTTCAATATCATTACCATTACGTTTCCCAAGAATAGAAATCAATTGACAAGGATAGTTAATAACCGCGCGCTTTGTCGTACATTATTAAGATATGGCAATTTGGGCTCCCTCCTTGAGGGGCGATGGGGTAGCCCAATGGTTAAAGCGTTCGCTCGTTACGCCGAAGGCCCGGGTTCGATTCCCTGCATGGGTACATTGTGTGAAGCCCGTGTCCCCCGCATTGATATTGCGGGAATATTGCTTAAAGCGGCGTAAACCCAACTCACTCACTCATTCATCTTCCTTGAACAAAACAGAAGCAAAGCCATCTATCAAGTCCAGCCGTTAAATGTCACCCACTCACTCGTCTTCCTTTGAACAAAACAGCAGTAAAGCCAACTATCAAATCTAGCTATTAAATGTCCAAATGTTTCTCATCATCAATGTAATTTGTCCTCTCCCGTCGTCCTTGCAGGTGGCTACGTCATCAATACGGCATTCTACAACCTGTTCACTGAAGACGGCGATGTGAAAGCCGTGATACTGAGAGAAAACATGAAGACCCTGGAATCCCACGGGAGGTGGAAGCAGGTGGAACTCGTACGTTTCCCTGACGTCATCAGTGGAAGCGAAGGGGGCGTGTCAGTTCACAGAGTCCTTACTTGACCACATTGTCCTCTCGGCTCTGTTGTCAACACACTTTTACATTTCCTTGCTCAATTGCTATATAAATTGACATTATTTCCCCTTATATGATTTATATATACACTTTTACATTTCCTTGCTCAATTGCTATATAAATTAACATTATTTCCCCTTATATGATTTATATATACACTTTTACATTTCGCGCCTAAATGCTATATAAATTGACATTATTTCCCCTTATGTGATTTATATATACACTTTTACATTTCGCGCCTAAATGCTATATAAATTAACATTATTTCCCCTTATATGATTTATATATACACTTTTACATTTCGCGGCTAAATGCTATATAAATTAACATTGTTCAACCTTATATGAATTAATAATACACTCTCTGAAATGAGCATTGCATCTTTATTGTTTGTCTTCTACACATGGGTATCGTTACTCTGATGAAAAAAAACATTTGAAGAATCCAAGGATGGGTTGCCGAATTCCAGATTTGGTGAGTGAGTGAGTCTAGTTTTACGACACTCAGCAATATTCCAGCTATATGGCGGCGGTCTGTAAATAATCGAATCTGGACCAGACATTCCAGTCATCAACAGCATGAGCATCGATCTGCGCAACTGGGAACAGATGACATGTTTTAACCAAGTCAGCGCGCCTGACCACCCGATCCCGTTAGTCACTTTTTACAAGCATGTGAGTGAGTGAGTTTAGTTTTACGCCGCACTCAGCAGCATCATTCCTGCTATATGGCGGCGGTCTGTAAATAATCGAGTCTGGACCAGACATTCCAGTCATCAACAGCATGAGCATCGATCTGCACAACTGGAAACCGATGACATGTGTCAACCAAGTCAGCGAGTCTGACCACCCGATCCCGTTAGTCGCTTCTTACGACAAGCATAGTCGCCTTTGTGGCAAGCATGAGTTGCTGAAGACCTATTCTACCTCGGATCTTCACGGGTCTACAACAAGCATGGATTACTGAAGATCAAATATTCTAGCCCAGAACTTCACGGGTATCCAGATTTCATCTTCACGGTCTTCACGGACTATAGATTACCAATTACTTGTAATAACTATTAGATACAATGAATTCTATTGTAAAGATTATACTTCAACTAGTCGTAAGTGAAAGTGATTGTACTATTTCCATCGACTAAATAGTGCCGAAAGTATACAGCAACCGTCACCATGAAACATTACTCGTGAAGATCGCGAAGATCCACGTCAGAATTGGTCTTCAAAACCGCTTATGGTAAGAGGCGATTGACGGAATCGGCTGGTCAGGTTCGCTGATTTGGTTGAAAATATCATGCCGGTAAACGTGGTTATCCAACGTGGAACTGACTAAGAAACCCCAGTCCATTTGTTAGAATCTGAATGAGTAGTGGGGTATGCAGAGGTGTAGCTACCATTATAAAAAAAGCCTGGGCTTACAAATGATTGCTGCTAAGAAGGATGGGCAAGCCCTAAATACTATCTAAATATAAAGCTTTGCAACCTATCGGGCTTAGGCTGGATTTACACAACGTCCGCATTTTTTTGACGCATGCGTTACCGAGTGCGTATTTTCCAATACACTAGGTGCGATAATCTGCGATATAAGACGGATGAATATAAGATGGAGGAAAAATCCTAGCATCGCTGGCAGTTTCTGTGCATGAGGAAGAGAACAAAACACGGAGATGGTGGGTACATCCCTTAAACCAACAAAGATTACTTGAAGGAGCCTATAATCGTCTTATAAGGGAATGATTAGGGAATTAAATAACATCAACCTTTTATGTGTTTTCGAAATATTGAACTAAAAGTATGTAGAAAATATTTACTTTCATACCAACATTGTTCTCTCATACACTCAGGCATTACAAATTCCACATATATAGAATTTGAGCAGTACTAACTTCCCTGGTGAACATAGTTCTGAGGGTTCTGTTGACGTGAACAAAATTGAGCCTCATGAAATATCTGGGCAATTTTATTTTTCATAAGAATTTAAAAACATCTTGAAGTAGCTTGTTCTGAGAATGAAATTTATCAAAGGTTTGTCATATTATTGTATATGTTATGCACAGACAGGCGCAGAAACACATTAAAAATAATATCTCATCAAAAACACAGCCTGTCTGCAATTGGAATAGCGTATGTTTATCGAAAGATGAGGAAATAACCTTACCTGATTGTCAACGTGTTGGGCAAATACCTTATTGGAATGACGTCATCAGGGGAATTCCTCATGCGAGTTCATTTGCGTTGCGTCAAAAATAGGAGGCCTACCTATCTAAATCGCTTCGGATCGCAACGCATGCAAAATTCGCACCTAGTGTACTGTCTAAATGGAAAATGTACTGCTTGCGTTTTTTCGGACGCAACGCATGACGCAACGCAGAGAAAATCGGACGTAGTGTAAATCCAGCCTTACACGAAAAGAAACGCGCCTGATATAGATGGGGCAACAACGATTAACCACTCATGTTAAAACATGTTGAAATATACACATATTGAATGCTTTACGGTAATGACATATAATACACTTTCTTGCATAACCACGTACTTCCATTTCCACATACATGTATATCACATGGACATAATACATGAATGTTGAGAGAATAAACATGTGTTGTTTATGAATATGCCAATGAAGTAACAGAACTATTATACAGATTCTTATCGTAATATTCATATATTTATTAACGAAAGTAACGAGTTATGCCAAGTCATATTGGTTTTCAGGTGAGTCAGGAACCGGTGTGTGTGTGTGTGTGTGTGTGTGTGTGTGTGTGTGTGTGTGTGTGTGTGTGTGTGTGTGTGTGTGTGTGTGTGTGTGTGTGTGTGTGTGTGTGTGTGTGTGTGTGTGTGTGTGTGTGTGTGTTTTGCTGGGGGGTATTGGTGCCATATCCGAATTGGCCTCTCGTATTCCTAGTTTCTGGATATTAATGCATATAAGGCATGTACATTTGTCAAGAAACTCCTCACTTATGATTTAATGTTTGTTCTTTGCCTTCTCTCCCTTCCAACTTTCAGGGTCAGCTATATTTCACATTAGTAGGAGTGGCATGTTTGTGAAGATCTAGTGTCGTTGTCAATGTTATTCATAACCGACCATTTACCAAAATAGGAGGTTTCCAAGAAGTGTCTGCGTGCGCGCGCGCGTGCCTGCGTGCCTACGTGTGTCTGACTTGAATCAAAGTTTGATGATATATCAGGGCATATCATTGGGTACAACTGTATTGCTTGCCGACCGATTCCAGTCAGGCCATTATAGTAAGCCGATCAGGTTTCAGGATGACCAAAGTTTTTCAAAACGAGATCCCGCCATCTTCTGTCGATACACTTTGTTAAACTCCTCACACTGTCGATCCGTGAACCAATTTTTCCAATCTCCAACTATGCCTGAAAGGAAGTAAGTGGAAAAAATACACAATTCATCATTGTTATGTATTAACATGCATTGAGTTTACGCTTTTTTTCGCGAAACAGAAAAAAACCCCGCAAACACTTTCTAATAGAAAGCACACCAGTATTTGATACAAAGAAGAGATCTGTTCACAAAAAAACTTGTAACAGACTGTTGCCTTGAAGTAGTAAGTATGTAAGTCCAGTCGGCAATATTTCACCAATACTCTGGCTGGAAAGTGTTGACATCAGGATTGCCTCCTAATCAGATATCGGTTTCCCGGTAGTGTTGACACATTCCAGATTCAGTTCATTGCTCCAGGCAGAGTTAGGGGAATAAAAGCCACGAAATCATGTTCTTAACCATTAGAAAACTGTCATGGTCTCACACATGTAACAGGTTTATAATCAGTCTAATTAAACTTAGGCTCAGTATTATTCGTTACACTGCTATACTGAGTCTAACAAAACATTGTAGAAGGTCGCGTGAGCTAACCTTTTGGACTGACCAATCAGAACACAGCTTACCAAATCGCGAAAGTTAACATTCGCACATACCGTTTGAACCTTTACCTAAAAAACTCGAACGATTCCGAATGCTATTTTCCGCACGATCGCTTCCGAGTGATACACGCAATGAGTAAAAACTCGCTGAAAATAGCGTTTTTGTCAATATTCAAGCAGAGACCATATCTATTATATGGTCTCTGATTCAAGGATGTCATCTTGCAAAAATATAAGCAAATAGTAACCATGTCATTAGAAACCCATAAGCGTATATACTGCAGGTCAAACATCTGTGTTTTAAGCGGATTTGCGTTTGTTGATAGATTTGTGTCAGCGACCAGGGAAGATAAAATTCAAAAACCGTTTTGTAAGTCCCGCCGAATCCAAACAAGTAGTCGTTGTCCGATTGGTTAAATCCGTTCTTCCGACTCGCGTTTGATTGTACGGTCATAGGTCGCTCAAAAGTTAGCTGACGCGACCTTCTACAAGGTTTTGTTAGACTCAGTATAGCAGTGTAACAAATAATACTGAGACTAAGTTTACTTAGACTGGTTTATAACTGAACTATGGGAGTCAGTCTTAGCGCTACGCATGTAACAGGTCAATGTAAAGCTGTGGAGTTACGACTGTCTTAGCGCTACGCATGTAACAGGTCAATGTAAAGCTGTGGAGTTACGACTGTCGTAGCGCTACGCATGTAACAGGTCAATGTAAAACTGTGGAGTTACGACTGTCGTAGCGCTACGCATGTAACAGGTCAATGTAAAACTGTGGAGTTACGACTGTCGTAGCACTACGCATGTAACAGGTCAACGTAAAATTGTGGAGTTACGACTGTCGTAGCACTACGCATGTAACAGGTCAATGTAAAAATATGGGTGCGGAGCTGTTTCCAAGCAACAGAAAAGATGTTCATATTCTGGATGTGGCTGCCGGAACAGGACTTTGTGCAGAAAAGGTAAAGGTTGGCAGACAAATATACTATATGTGTTTCTCAATTTACATCAACTTCCCTACTGAATCAGCTGCATTCGTCACGTGCAGACTCGGCCGTCTATGTTCCCTGCCTGTTTCTGGTGTCAGTGAACTGCATGATACATGAAATGTTCAGTCTTTTTGAACCGTAATTCCCCAGTAAGGATGGAGGCTGTCACCTAGGAAATATACATCATGTGTTTGACCAATTTCCGGGTGTTATTGAGTATTTGAAACACGGGAATTCATTTGGAACCGACGGCATTGAAGTTTATCGACATTGTAAACACAAAAATAAACCAAATGTCCACACACGTTTTTCTGTTTGCACGCATTGACATCGAGTACGGGAACAGTAGTGAAGTGTCATCAGCTGGCCGTTTCGGCTGTCTCCCATGGTAGCATCTGGATCTGCTCATTTGTGACGTCATTCGGACTTTACGCCACAATATGATTTGAACGACGTCACCACTGCTGACGACGTAACAATACAATGGTGTGTGCGATGTTTGCACCTACTGATACGCAGCAAATGGTCTGGGAATCGAATACCATTCGATCATGTTTTTCAACCAATCAGATTAAAGAACACAGTGACTTTTGGTTTACAATTTGACGAGTGCTAGCTGCTGTGATGGTGCCCTTTGAGAGAATCTCTGGTCTGTGGTGCACGAGAGACTCATCAACCTTGCCACCTGTCAACACATCTCAAGTTCTCGTGAAAATCGGGATGAAAATGAGTCTGTCACGGTGAAGATTCAGATCAGAAGTGGTCTTAACATGTTCAGCTGTAAAGATTCGGATTGGAATTGGTTTTCAACAGCCCATGTTTGTCTAACAGGAGACAAGATCGATGGAAGGGATCAAGCTCGCTGAATCGGTGGATTACAATCGCTTAGATCGATCTTCACATTGCCAGTCACTTGAGGCTCTCATCTCAGTCATAAGAGGCGATTAACGGGATCGGGTGGTCAGGTCTGTTGACTTGGTTGACACATGTCATCGTATCCCAGTGTAGATCAATGCTGATGATGTTGTTGATTGGATTGTCTGGTCCAGACTCGATTATTACATACGGCCGTCATGTAGATGGAATATTGCTGAGTGCGGCGTTAAGCATCGAACAAACATTTCAAAACTGTTACGGTAAATTAAACTTATACCATAATTGTTAAAATATTGAGAAGGAAAATACAGGCCAAAAATCAATAGCTTTTTCTTAAAAAATTCAAGATATCACTACGACATGTATACACACTGGCATTTTAGAAAGTGATATCATTACGAAAAAAACAACTTACACCATGATTGCTAAATAGTGAGACTTCATAATGTCTTGAATGCATTGCCTGTTCTTGTAAAAAACATTGTGATGTACTGAGTATATTTTACAGCTTTACTCTCATGGCTTTCAAAAAATGGATGCCCTTGATCCGTCGAGCAGAATGTTGGATGAGGCAAGGAGGAAAGGCCTGTACGGTCGATACTTTATCGAAGCTTTAGGAGAAGATGCCCTGATCATTGCAAACGGTAAATAGTGGTCCATTCTAAACAGTACCTCACACGAAACCATGCTCTTCCAGATGATTTACCGCAGGTGAAGATTAAATTATGTTCAAGAGCACGTTTTCAACACAACATTAAGCGAAAATACCGCATGTTAGTTAGTGAGTGAGTGAGTGACTGAGTGAGTATGGTTTTACGCAGTTTTAAGCACTATACCAGTAATATGAATAGGAGATTGGTCTCCAATTAATAACATTACCATTATTAGACAGCTCGGTTTCAGACGGCAGTGCTCACTCGGGTTTGCTACGTCACAAAGGCATTGTAAACTCTTTAATGACGGCTCTCATTTAGGATAAGGATATTTTTCATAAGTTGTTCATGCGAACAACGGATGTTCTTGAGTGACCGATAACCCATACCAAAAAGAAAATTTCGTTTTGCCATCTTTTAGCAGTTGTCAGTTGAAGAGGGCCCATATTTGCTTATTAACAACGAAATCAATTGATTTTCCAACTTACCGAGCTGTAAGTTTACGCACCTACGCGTATTGAACTTGATGCTCTTTTTGATCGCTGCATGTGCATTTATAAATGTATGTGGGTTAAACATCGTAGGTGTTGCGATATTTTGTTCCATGTTTATAGTCCAATATGTATCAATACATTGAGTATTTACATATATTGCCATGCAGTATTATAAGTATATGTTTCAGATACATATGATGCAGTCACAATATCAGCGATGAGCTCTATGGTGATGATAAAGCTGCCCATAGAAGCACTTGAAGAGCTCATCCGCATTGTCAAGCCAGGAAAGTATGGAGCAATGATCACGTTAAACTTACCTGTGCACACCGGGTTTCATCTGTATACACGCAGTAACATATTAAGGTCAATGAATACGTAATAATATAAGCAGAGAAGAGAACAATAACACAATACTAACGTTTACATAATATGTAGCTAGTTGTCTCACCAGTCATCATATGTATAACCGATGGGTAACCGATACGTTTGGGGGACGCTAGTTAATGGTTGACTACAGTCCTCATATAAAAGTCATATTAAAAATAGTTTGAAGAAATGTCAGTTTTGAATAAAAGCGACAAAAACATTTCTATAATCAGAAGAAATATCAGGTAAAATCCAAGTTCATCGTTCAAGTTTATCTACATCACGAGCGTGCGTTTATGAACCACTATCAAATATCATTACACAAATGCTTTTTAGAAAGTGGTCAAATGTAACATGTTTTGTTTGGGATTACACTTATGTGGCCTCAAATCCCAGAAGGGCCACCAAGAGTTCTATATTTTTAACTCACAAAGTATAATCCCAAATGTATCCTATGATACACTGAATTGTTGGCGTAAATGTCAGCATATCCTGCCTCCACCTGTGTCATTCACCAGATACACTTGTAGAGGTAAGTATTTGTTCACCTGGTCTAAAACAGGACAGTTGCTATTTTTCTATGTTACGAATTCCATGATACATACTTTTGAAATTATGAAAACTCATAAAAACTACCTTAAAACATTTAAGGAGGCCGTGAATGCTGTAACAATGAACTCAAGAGTGTTAAGGTGGTTTCCGAAATTTTCATATAAAAAAATATTTTATTATTATTTATTATATATTTTTACATATAAAAAATTGTTAAATGAGTCTGAAACTGCTGAATAATTTAAATGACGGGGAAGTGAAAAAGCGACATACATACTCGATCAATATAACAAACGATATTGTACAGATAATATGTAAAAAATTAAACATAAAAACAGCATTTGTATCATTTTCTAGGCGAGGCTGACTACTTTTAGAACGCCCCTCGTATTCAAGACAGAACATGAACAACTTTGTTATTCGTATGATTATTGGGTCATATATTTAGTTTCTTTACAATGGAACTCAAGGTTGCCTGCGTATTTCAAAAATGGTGCTTTACATGCATACGCCTGTAGCATGTAGTATGTAATTGTAGCCGTTGTAGCTTTGATAGTATACCATTGAAGTTGTTGTAGTTCTCGACGGTTGTAGTTCTTGCAGCCGCTGTAGTTTCCATAGTAAGCCAGTAGCGCAGTTGTAGTTCTGCAAACAAACCTTTTCTAAGTTCATGTTCAGTACATATCTCTTGCTGTGACAACTGGAGCTATAAAATGCCATTTTCTGTGAATCAACCTTTTGTCGATGATGTGACTTTCGAAGATGACTTGTAATCCTATGCCGATTGGAAATAAGAATAAATGCGTCCGCAGCTGATCGAGTATTATTTGAAAAGTTGTTTGTACAAGATATTAAGAAAATGTTCTATAAGTGTACATGTATATGAAAGCATATTGGATTTGGATGTTAAACTACTACCATCAATTTGTCTGAGGCCCGCGGAAATGAGATGCAACTAGAAATTATACTCACTTTTAATGTAACCGAACGAATTAATTCTTGAACTGAATAAGGCCACTAAAAACACAAACTTCCCGTATTCTGATCTTAGACTCTCCATTAAACAATATGTATGGAAGCCGTACCTTTTAGCATTCCTTGCAACAGTCAAATAACAATCCATTACATTTTCCTTGAATGTGTTGATTTCGCACTTGTCATAGCAACAGTCAAATAACAATCCATTACATTTTCCTTGAATGTGTTGATTTCGCACTTGTCATAGCAACAGTCAAATAACAATCAATTACATTTTCCTTGAATGTGTTGATTTCGCACTTGTCCTAGCAACAGTCAAATAACAATCAATTACATTTTCCTTGAATGTGTTGATTTCGCACTTGTCATAGCAACAGTCAAATAACAATACATTACATTTTCCTTGAATGTGTTGATTTCGCACTTGTCATAGCAACAGTCAAATAACAATACATTACATTTTCCTTGAATGTGTTGATTTTGCACTTGTCCTAGCAACAGTCAAATAACAATCCATTACATTTTCCTTGAATGTGTTGATTTTGCACTTGTCCCAGCAACAGTCAAATAACAATCAATTACATTTTCCTTGAATGTGTTGATTTCGCACTTGTCCTAGCAACAGTCAAATAACAATCCATTACATTTTCCTTGAATGTGTTGATTTCGCACTTGTCATAGCAACAGTCAAATAACAATCCATTACATTTTCCTTGAATGTGTTGATTTCGCACTTGTCATAGCAACAGTCAAATAACAATCCATTACATTTTCCTTGAATGTGTTGATTTCGCACTTGTCCTAGCAACAGTCAAATAACAATCAATTACATTTTCCTTGAATGTGTTGATTTCGCACTTGTCATAGCAACAGTCAAATAACAATCAATTACATTTTCCTTGAATGTGTTGATTTCGCACTTGTCCTAGCAACAGTCAAATAACAATCCATTACATTTTCCTTGAATGTGTTGATTTCGCACTTGTCCTAGCAACAGTCAAATAACAATCCATTACATTTTCCTTGAATGTGTTGATTTTGCACTTGTCCCAGCAACAGTCAAATAACAATCCATTACATTTTCCTTGAATGTGTTGATTTCGCACTTGTCATAGCAACAGTCAAATAACAATCCATTACATTTTCCTTGAATGTGTTGATTTTGCACTTGTCATAGCAACAGTCAAATAACAATCCATTATTTTCATTTTGTTGATTTCCTTGTCATAGCAATGTAACAATCACTATAACAATCCATTACATTTTCCTTGAATGTGTTGATTTCGCACTTGTCATAGCAACAGTCAAATAACAATCCATTACATTTTCCTTGAATGTGTTGATTTCGCACTTGTCATAGCAACAGTCAAATAACAATCCATTACATTTTCCTTGAATGTGTTGATTTCGCACTTGTCCTAGCAACAGTCAAATAACAATCCATTACATTTCCTTGAATGTGTTGATTTTGCACTTGTCATAGCAACAGTCAAATAACAATCCATTACATTTTCCTTGAATGTGTTGATTTCGCACTTGTCCTAGCAACAGTCAAATAACAATCCATTACATTTTCCTTGAATGTGTTGATTTCGTACTTGTCATAGCAACAGTTAAATAACAATACATTACATTTTCCTTGAATGTGTTGATTTCGCACTTGTCCTAGCAACAGTCAAATAACAATCCATTACATTTTCCTTGAATGTGTTGATTTTGCACTTGTCATAGCAACAGTCAAATAACAATCAATTACATTTTCCTTGAATGTGTTGATTTCGCACTTGTCCTAGCAACAGTCAAATAACAATCCATTACATTTTCCTTGAATGTGTTGATTTTGCACTTGTCATAGCAACAGTCAAATAACAATCCATTACATTTTCCTTGAATGTGTTGATTTTGCACTTGTCCTAGCAACAGTCAAATAACAATCCATTACATTTTCCTTGAATGTGTTGATTTTGCACTTGTCATAGCAACAGTCAAATAACAATCCATTACATTTTCCTTGAATGTGTTGATTTCGCACTTGTCATAGCAACAGTCAAATAACAATCAATTACATTTTCCTTGAATGTGTTGATTTTGCACTTGTCCTAGCAACAGTCAAATAACAATCCATTTTTCCTTGAATGTGTTGATTTGCACTTGTCCTAGCAACAGTCAAATAACAATCCATTACATTTTCCTTGAATGTGTTGATTTTGCACTTGTCATAGCAACAGTCAAATAACAATCCATTACATTTTCCTTGAATGTGTTGATTTCGCACTTGTCATAGCAACAGTCAAATAACAATCAATTACATTTTCCTTGAATGTGTTGATTTCGCACTTGTCATAGCAACAGTCAAATAACAATCAATTACATTTTCCTTGAATGTGTTGATTTTGCACTTGTCATAGCAACAGTCAAATAACAATCAATTACATTTTCCTTGAATGTGTTGATTTTGCACTTGTCATAGCAACAGTCAAATAACAATCCATTACATTTTCCTTGAATGTGTTGATTTCGCACTTGTCAGCAACAGTCAAATAACAATCCATTACATTTTCCTTGAAATCTGTTGATTTCGCACTTGTCATAGCAACAGTCAAATATCAATCCATTACACTTTCCTTGAATGTATTGATTTCGCACTTGTCATACAGCGTTTTCATGATAATGTTCATATCTTTTTACCACATCTAATTTTTGACGAAATGAAACTACCAGGCGTCATTAAAAAGGGTCAAAAGATATATAGCACATGTAAAGAAACGTTTCTCTGAAATAATACAATTAAGAGTGTCATCATAATGTTTAATGTGTTGACAAACGTGACACATCGTGACATACAGACAAAAAGTTCAAACAGCACCAGCAAATATCAGTTGTACAGACCAACCCCCCAAAAATGAAACTGACAAACATGAAGCAATCGGTCATTCAATATCTTGTGTACCCTCCAGGGCATAGATTTTCGAAGCTCTCTTGGCGCTAAGATAGTCGTAAGTGCCATACATTAACATTAACTTACGAGAGCTTCGAAAATTTAATTCCTTGCGCGTCCAAGACACAGATACACCCTGTTTTCATGCTCCTTATGAAGTTCGTAAAGAAAGCTTGCGGAATCTACTAAAGCTCTGCGGAGTCCTGGGAGATCCACTGCTGCTGGGTGACGTGTGTACACATCGACCGAGTTCATCCCAGTCATGCTCAATTGGGTTGAGGCCTGCTGAGCATGCTCGTCACTCCATCTGCTCTACACCCTGCTGCCTACGAAATTCCGTGACAACCCTATGAGGCCTAGTGTTGTCGTCTTGCAGTAAAGAGGGTCGACTATAAAAGCCATGCATAGCTTGCAGGAATGGTACAGCTACAGGAGCCAGAATCTCGTCCCGATAACGCTGTCCAGTAAGATTACGTCGGCCACGTGCATTGGGGTACGTCCAGTAGGAGTTATCCTTGCCCAAACCATGACCGACATCCCGCCAAATCGGTTATGCGTGGCCACAGTGCATCTGTGATTCGCTCTCCATTGCCACGATAAATCCTCTGTCGACAATCATATCTTTCTCTCTGACGATCTGCTGCGTTAAGGAATCTGTCACGTAACGCAGTGTTCTCCGACGGTTATGACTCTGGGGCGATCCGTGCATATTCCACGGAACCATTAGCTTGAAATCTCTGCCACAGTCTACCAATATCATTCTAACTCACATTAAAGCGGACAACACCCTGCCGTTGGTTTGACCAGATTCCAAAAGGCCTATAGTCTGACCCCTTTCAGCAAGTGTCAAAAAACGTCTCATGTTAAGCTGCGATTTCAAACAGGTACCTGAACAGTGAACGACAGTGACAAAAGCATCAGTGCATGTGTATTGTCCTCCAATTTCCAGGGATAGAGCGACTTGCATCCCTTGCAATAGTCAAATAACAATCAAGCACATTTTCCTTGAATGTGTTGATTTTGCACTTATCATACAGAGTTTTCATGATAACTTTTTACAACATCTAATTTTTAAAGAAATCAAACTAAATTTATATGACGTGAGGATCCGAGTTAGCATCAACCGATGTGCTTCGTGAGAAGCGACTAAAGGGGTCTGTGGACTTGGACTTGTCATCGTATCAAAATTGCGTAGACTGTTGTCATGTAACTGGAAAATTACTTAACGCAAATGAATATATGGATAAATAAATAAATGTGTGAGTGAGTGAATAAATAAACAGACACTTGTTAAGATGTGCTGTGATCATTTGATGACAAGTTACTATTGATATGATGATGGTGTCGCCTGGCTTGAATCATCTACTACATTGATACTGGGTAATGTTACAAAAACAAGTACGATTCATACATTGGGCCTGTGCTAAACATATTGAAAGTTTGGTTTTACCATAGTGATCCCACACCTGACACTATGATACACACGTTTAATTTTCTACCATGATGCTGTAAAGGCTAGGTCGCATTCCTGTGGGCTATGAATCACGACTTGGCAGCATTTAAAGGCATGTGTCAACATAAATCATCCTTTCTATATGTTACGACACCAGCTTGGATGTAACTAAAATGTGATACTTGCAAATGTGAAATATGTCTAACGGTATTAATCTCGAAATGAATTAGTTCTGTGTAACGTGCAGTGCTGTGTTGCCCTCCCAGGGGCGGTGGGAAGCCTAGTGGTTGACGCGTTCGCTCGTCACACCGAAGACCCGGGTTCGATTCCGTATAATGTGTGAAGCCCATTTCCGGTGTCCCCCCGCTGTCATATTGCTGTCATATTGCTACAACCCAACTCACTCACTCATTGTAACCTTGATCCAGACAAGGGTTCAATATCCTGTACAACCTTGCTACTCATAAACTGAACCATTGAGTGCAGGCTGCAGAAGCTGCGTCTGTGTGCATTCACCAACCACGGAATGAGGGAGGGTCGGGAGTAGTGGTGTAAAACTAAACTCACTCACTTACTCACTCACTAAGGCTCCTATCGCAAAGGTTATCGAAACGCACATGCGTTAACATTTGACTTACGATCGATGTAGCTCTAAGAGTGGTTTGTGGACCGGATCACAAAAGCATATTAATATATATATATATACAGATGGAAAAAGTATCGCAACACGCAAGTTTTATGACAGGACCTATATTCAATCACAGTTTTTATGTTATTTGCGTCTTCACAGGAAATTATTATATAACCAAAGTGCTAAAAATGACTTTACATTAACACAAAAGCCAACAATAAAAAAATGTGAATGGTATAATTTGATTGAACATGGGTCGTGTATAACAACTGAAATTAAGATAACACAATGTGTCAATAAAAGTATGGTCATCCCAAAGGGTAACACGATGCATTTTCCTAATTCATACACCCAAGGTTTCTAGTTTCGTCCTCATTCAGTGCACAAAACGCTGAATCCGATGTTGGGACAACCTGTTCCATTCTTGGTGCAATGTTTGCTCTAATTCATCAATATTTTGGACTGTCGGATCTCTCTGACGAACCTTACGACCCTGAATGTCCCAAACATGCTCGACAAATCACGGTTTCTGGCTGGCCATGGAAGGGTGGTAATGACTTCTTTATGCAGGAAAACACGACTGTGCGTGTGCAGTGTGGCCTAGCGTTGTCATCCACAAAGAGTGGCCATGGCCATGTTAATAGGGGATGATTGTCAAAATGAGGCACCACATGCCTCCTCAAGGTTTCCTCTTGGTATCTATGTCCATTAAGATTTCCTCTCACTGTGACAAGCTGAAGTTTGCAGTCATACGACACACAACCCCATACCATCAAGGATACTCCGCCGAATGGAACTTCTTCCAGGATGTTCCTTTGAGCCACTGCCGTTTTAACATTGGACTTGTTGCGAAGGGACATAACCGAACACGTCTAAGAAGGGCTGCGTCATGTCTAGTTTATATATTGCGTGGTCTGCCTGAACGATGCAGATCCTTTACAGAAGAAAGAAGTATTCAAATTGATTTTTATTGTTTAACGCCGCACTCGGCAATATTCCAGCTATATGATGGCGGGTAAGAAGTATTCAGAAGAAATATGGGTTGCTGAAGACAAGTTCTAACCCCGATCTTCACGGGTAAGAAGTATTTAGCATGATGCAAACACCTGGTTCAATATCACGGCGGGGACACCAGAAATGGACTTCACACATTGTATCTACGCTACTGCCTAAAAGTTCATTCCCCTTACACGCGTTGAGAACCATGCGTGTCACACGGGACCAAGTTTCAGTTGAATTTGACGAATAGCGTTAGGGTTGCTTGATTAAATTTGTATGAATTTTGAAATCGGAAATTTGACAAAAGTAATAGGAGGATGAACTACGAAATGGTTTGGTTGATACTTGTTTTGTTTGTTTTTGTATTTTTTAAGTTAGCACAAGTTGGTTAGATGGGATTATATGCGAACTGGAAGGCCGGTTTTAATAAGAAATATATGTAAGGCTGAGTGTTATTTAGTGGGCTTGAAGTGTATGCAGTGTTGTAGGACGTGTTAGGGCGTTTCTTTTTGTTGCTGTAAGTGCACTTGTCGGTTTTTGTGTTTTTATGTGCATGAGAATTTAATTTGTATGACCTCCTTGGAATTTGGCTATCGCCCTGTCAATACGTTTAGATTTATGGAAGGTTTTTAGTTTGTTGATTGGTTTTGGATGTAGATTTTTAGCTTAGAATTTGAATTTTGTTTTTTACTTTGCCACTTTTGGAAGATTTTTTGGGTTCTGATACGCAGCACCCCTAGAATTTTTTACAGATTATTTTTTGTACATCAGTGTATTTTGAGTATCATATATCCTCACTGCAGCCCTGAAATCCACACCTCAATCAATGACGCAAAGTTTGCGGGCAGCCCACATGACAGATGGTTGGTACCAGAATGATATACCTAATTACATATTATCACAACAACCATTAATATATAAACTAAGGAATCCAGGGCAATGACATAGAATACCCGGAACCCTATTAACTGAAGGCATATTGTGCAGTGCCTAATGATAAATAACGAACAAAAGACTTAATTAGAAAAAGGATTGCCTTCAATCCACACGATTCCAAACGACAGGATGGACAAAATAAAGAATAACATACAAAACAATGAATACACAATACATAAACAAACATTGATTGGGAAAAGAAATAATAAATAGTATAATATAAACTATCTACTTTGTTTTATTTTTGGGACTATGAACCAATGTTACATCATGAATCATACCCATATCCCCATGATCATGTGGTAACTTGATCTGAAAAGTCTTGGAACTTACAACATGGTCATCAGTGCAACGAGCTAAATGCGGCGCCACCTTGTGACCGGGCATCAGTGGAACTTCGTGCATCAGCTTGCAGATTACTTGGCTCTCCTGATTACCAACATGTCAAATACAGCTAAAACTGTATAATGGAGTCAAAATAATTTTTGGTATTCCCTTGGAACTGTAAATTTCATGGTTGTTCATACATAAAGCAATCTTTCTGACTGACTTATGTTGTTAAGTTCGAATGAGTAAATTGAGTGAGTAAGTAATAATGAACAAACCTGAAGATATGATGTATATTTATGATGTAAATTTCACGTGCAATTTCTGGTCTGTCAACTGAATTTAATAATACAACTATTGTAAATTAATACTTAACCAAAACAATTGTTTGGTATATATACAGATATATACAGATATGTATATACATGTAACAGGGTGCAAAATACTGTATTTATTTTGGCATTGTTTTGGTGTTTGGGTTTTATTATAAGCTTTAAAAGATTATTAATTTCATAATGAGATGGTGACCCTCAGGACCACTCATTTGGAGCCTTGCCACCTATGTAAGGATAGTTCACAGTTCATAGGTGGTATTAACTGTGCTGATTGGCCTAAAGTTTATGAAGAAGCCTTCAAACTTCTCATTGGTTGTAAGTTGCTGCACATGCTTTTCATGCAAGGCAAGATGTTTAAGATTGTCATTCTGGCTGGCAACTTTACCAGGGACACATGTGGTGGTCTTGAAGAAATGAAGGTTAGTTTTAAGTGATAGAATATATTTTATAAAGGATAAACATTACAAAAATATTTCAATTGGTTTATGGTATTTTAAAGTGTTGTTGGGAGTATATGGAATGTTGAGATAAAATACTTTTCAATATCTTGGTAATGTATTTGCGCAAAACAATTTGTATTGCATTTGTGATGTATTTTATACTAGTGTTTTGCATAGCATTTATGATTTTGATATTGTGTTTAGATATTCTTGTCAAGGCGTTCTGATGAAGCACCAGCCATTTGATTCAGCCCATAGGTGGTAATTATGTGATAATTTGGTAGTTTTATTCATAATGCTATTTTCAATAATTATAATAGCTGTCACTGGCCACATGTTTCTGTAATGTTCCTTAAATAGTTAGTTGTATTTATTTCATGCTTATGTAATGTTTAAAGATTATGTTGTGTTTAAATGTTGTGCTCTGTAACACATATACATGTGTTGTAACATGTTGCAGAGTTGATCGTGCGAGGGTATACCTCCACCTCTGGCTGAACCAAAAATAAAGAACTCTGCCATACGGCTGGCCCTTGTCTTATATGGGACTAGCCCGTTTACATACATATTTATAAAGTTTAGTTCAGAACATTATGCACAGATGCTACAATTTGGAACAAAGAAACATTTTTAAAAAACATGAAAAACAAAATGGTCAAACGTAGCACGAAAAAAATAATCTTTTATACAAAATTGGAGATTACATAAAAGGAGTCACTTTACCTTCAGAAAGCAGGAAATTGCATCTTAGAGCATCTAATTTGAAAAATATTCCGGGGAAGCATGCCCCCTGAAACCCCTAGATCCTCTGGCGCTTTGCGGCCAAGGACCTAGATAGTGCCACAGAGTCCTACTGGTCCTTGCTGAAGGCTATCTATTTTTCTGTCTGTGTTCACACCTGAACACTTGTTGTTAAAAAAAATGTGACTTTGATGGGCCAAAGAGGTATATTACCAGAACCTTTACCCATGCTATCCGACACCGAACAAAGTTTTTCATTGAAAGTACCAACGTTATCTGAGCAACCATGAAGAAGCTCTGTAAATCTTAATCTTTACCACTGCCGGATGTCCCTTGAAACACTATGGACAATCGTCAGGATGACAGATGTACCGACTCTACTTCACTTCTTGTCTTAGTCTCGGCCGGCTTGACATACTGCCCTCTGGTACCTTGACGACCTACATCTGAACAGGACGCTCGCTCTTATCCTTATCCCCAACAGGCGAATATTCATGTTGACAACTGACCTGACCCGAAGGGACTTAGGACGATATATGATTGAACCTGCTGCCACGTATTCGATTATGCTTCCTGAGAGCCTTGGTTTCCGCCGTCGGAAATCAGGGGCGATGTCATACCCTTCAAGCTAATTGACCACTGCCAAGAGAGCTGGCGATGTGTCAGCTAAGCAATTTTCCCCTCTTCCTGATAACATCAAAAACTGTATTTCCCCAAAGAAGAAACTATATCATTTCTGTGTGCAGTAGACTTGATATCCTCCAGAGAATCCAAACAATCGCAGTTGAATTTTTACTGGACAGAATTAACGTTGAACTTTAATTCAGGAACACTATTTTTCCTCATTTTTTACTTCTGGCAACGACAAGTGCTCGGACTCTCTAACAAAATTCACTTTCAGAGAATGATTTCTTCACCTTTCTGAATCCCTGACGATGATTTTGATTTTCGAGAATGAAGGAGAATATATTATTGCCAAACCATAAAATCTTATATATTTGATTGTCTGCATTTCAGCACCATTTATTTAAATGTGTATTATTGTCTTGTTAGCAACGACTCTATTAAACAAAATACAAATAACTCCATCTCCAGCTCGAGTCAAGCTGTCAGCAGACTGAACGTAAATTTTAGTATACATTCAAATAGTACATCAGTATTTACCACACGCATTTTCCTTTAACATTGCGAGAACGGAAGCCTCTGTACAGTGACTCAGCGTCACGTGTCGCCACCTACACAGGTATATATGTCGGTCGCTTTTGGCATTACAGAACATAGTTTGCTATTTCAATGCCCATGTCAGGGTGCTAATGAACTGATATCAGTGAACAGCCACTCTTCAGAGAGGGAAAACTGTTTGGAGGTTCAGGTAAGTTTTCAGTCATTATTACATTCGTCTTACATAGGAGAGGCATTTCAATGTGGGACCTAGCGACATATTTCTTGTTGCTTATTTGTCGGTCCTATGGCGAAATGTCGTTTATTGAAAAGAATGAAGATCCTTTTAAAGGCGAAAATTTATGGATGGACATCTAACGTCTCTGTTTTGAGGAACAGGACGTTTCGGAGTATATAATTTCTCCTTCATCAGGTGAATGAAAAAACTAGGAAACAGATAGTTATATAAGTACATGTGAAACGACAGTGATTAGATAAGAACAAGGGAAGCCAGGAGTTAACTGGTAACGGCAATGGACAAGTAGAAGCTAGGGATTAATCCAGGCATCAATGATGGGATAACAGTAGTG